GGGAAACCATAGGCTTTGGGGTTCTGTACAGCATGCAGTGTTATAATCTTAGTCCAAGGATTTAGGGACTGAGTCTGAGGGGATGATTACTGTGGGCCTGCCTTCCTTTCAGGACTGCCATAAAGGTAAGCTAAAAAGGCATGTGTGTAAACCCCTGGCCCAGGGTTCAGCCTCCTCTAGAGCGCCACTGACAGGTCATATTTGTTACTACAGGGCATATTTGTTGAGCCCCTACATGAAGCAGTGACTGAAGATATGCCTTTTGGTGGGTTGGCCCCACCTGAAGCTCTTCCGGTGCCTCCTTTTCCACAGGTGAACCTGTACTCAGACCCGCCCCGGCCCAGCCACAACATCCACACAGGAACAGTGCCCCAGGGGACCAAGGTCTTGTCCTTCACCATCCCACAGCCCCGCTCAGTGGAGTGGTGGCCGGGCCCTGCTGAGGATGCCCAGGCTTCTGAGGCCTCAGGTGAGCCTGGGAGAGGAGCATGTCTGAAAGGCTGCTTCTGCCTGTGATTCTGCTCTTGGAGGGGACTTGGTTTGTCTGAGGATGGCACCAGCTTCAGGCCAGGGGAATGAGAGAGGCAAGGCCCCACTCTGCACTCTTTGACTGGAAAAGGTCAAATAGTGATGTGGAAAGAGTCCTGCTTGGAGCCAGAGCAGCCTGGGTGAAGCCCTGGCTCTATCGCTTAGCAAGTTGGGGATCTGGGTGCATTGCATAACAGTGAAAGTTGTCCTTGGGGAGGCCATATCAGGGCCAGGCCCTGTAGGAAGCCTTGACACGTTGATCTCAGTTAATCCCCACGTTAACCCGGTGAGGTGTACACATTGTACTTAATGACAGTTAAGGAGACCAAGGCTTGGAGAGGTGAAGACGTGCTGAAGGTCACACAACTAGGAAGGGGAAGGGCTGAGCCTTGAACCCACAACTTCCTGAGTTAGATCGTGCAGTAGTGGCAGGGACCCCAAAAGCCGGGCATGGTTCTACTCCTTCCAGCCGAGTGATTCAGGGCAGATCCAGAATATGTTCTCTGCTGTACGTGAGAAATGGCACTCTGCCCAGCCTACTGCCTCTGCCAATGTGAAGATGGCCCACAAGATGATGGAGATGGTGATTTTGAGGTTCAGGCTGTCCTTCAGACCCTGGAAGGACTGTTCTGGGCCCAGGTTTCAGTGGTTGTGTATTCCAGGGTGGTCGTTGACTGGAAGAGACCTGAGCCCCTCCTCGCCTACCATCGTGCCCATCCCAGGGCAGCTCCCGGAGAACCGAGGCAATGCCCAGGACCAGCCCTCAGCAGAGCGGACTCAGGCACTGGCTTCTCAGGTCAGCCAGTTCCTGGCCAAGGTGAGTGGAATCCTAGC